TAAATATACATTAAAACCCCTTATACAACACTGAATAGGTATACTAAGATAAAAAAAAAAGTGACCCTGGACCACAAAACCAGTCATAAGGGTCTATTTTTTTTAAATTGAGATTTATACAAGCAGAATAAATAAGCTTTCCATTGATGTATGGTTTGTTATGATAGGACAATATTTGGCTGAGATACAACTATTTGAAAATCTGGAATCTGAGGGTGCAAAAAAATCTAAATATTGAGAAAATCGCCTTTAAAGTTGTCCAAATGAAGTTCTTAGCAATGCATATTACTAATCAAAAATTAAGTTTTGATACGGTAGGAAATTTACAACATATCTTCATGGAACACGATCTTTACTTTAATATTCTAATGATTTTTAACATAAAAGAAAAATCGATCATTTTGACCCATTCTATGTATTTTTGGCTATTGCTACAAATATACCCCAGCGACTTATGACTGCTTTTGTGCTCCAGGCAGGGTCACAAATAGTTATTATCCCACCGGTCACTATTGTGACCATCAAGATGTTTACTCATTCTATGTCCACACTCAACAAAACTGAATAATTGTGAATTCATATATTAATACTAGACACCTTAAAGAAAATGCATACTTAAAATCTTTGTCATATCTTTGTTAACATACTTTACTAGCCTTTTGTTTTGGAGCTTTGCTGCAGCCATCATCATCTCATGATGCAAACAGGAAGTAAACTACTCTGGTCATGTGACGATTTGCACTAAACATGTGACACTGCACATATTTAATTGAGACCCTTTATTTTTTCCATATTTGCCGAAAATGCACTAAAACAACAGTCAAGTAATATTTTTAGAGCTTTATAAATGAAAACCTTCTTTACGGTCACTATTGTGACCGGTGGGATTAAATGAGTTAATTATGCACACGGCCGCTTGGGTAAACAAGTTATTTCCCTAAATATTTGGGAGTGTTAGTTTATGCTTGCAAAAACTTAAAAGTAATGTTCCTAAAGAAGTCAATCGTGCATTAAGGTTAGGGCAACGTTCTGTAATAGCTGGCTGTTCCTGACGCTGATATTACAAGCCAGTCTTAACAGTTTATGTGATCTGGCTCTTGATTTTATTATTGTTATTTTTTTGCTGGGAGGCACACGTATCAAAAATGCGCGCGGTAAGAGCATCTACGGTAGTTCACGTTGGCCAAAACACACAAGGAAACACGTTGTGGAAAAAATATTGTCTGCAATCTCAGACATTCGTCTTTCGGATGGGATTAGTTTTCTCAGAGGATCACTGAGTTTGCCGAAAAACAGTAGGTAATTTGCTCTGGAATTATTACAGAGGTTGTGTGAGAAAAACACAGACGTGGAAGATTCGGACGGGATTAAAATCGCAAAGTACTTTTCTCTAACGCTAGTCCCGTCTGAATAGGGCTTAAATCATAAACATCTTAAAGACATCTAAAAAAACGTCTATTTGACATCTGATAGGAAACGTCCTATAGACGTATCGCAGATGAGCAAACACTCTAAAATATGTCTTGCAGATGTAAGTGCAGACATCAAATAGACGTCTCCGAGATGTACGAGTGCTTGCGTACACATGTTGTTTCGCAAACCTCGGGTTTTCTTTCTCCAGCTGTTCCAGTCTTGATTAACGTAGTGCGTAATTAATGTGTTGGGGCGATGGTTTTCCGGCAGCCATGTCTGCGCTTCATTAATAGTCCTTACTGCAAATATCTGGCATGAATTATTGATCAATCGGGGATTCAGGGGCTTTGGTCCTGTGCCAGCCGCTGTCACTGTCATGAGACCTTTACTAATGGACGGGAAATGACACTCACGAGCGAGCAGTCCTACACCAGAGTCTCTCTTTACTCTGCATTTGTCCAAGGAAAAAACGTTCTTTGATGGTTCATCACGAGTGGCCCATGTAATATAGATCATGATGCTTCCACGCCAGAAATACCAGATCCTGTCAGAAAATGTCTTGTAACAGAACAGTTAGCCAGCAAAACTGTCTAATACCCAAAACCAGTGTTTTGTCTGGAACCCAAAACTGTATTAACAGTCTTCTATCAGCCAAGAAGTTGACTGAGAAAAGCCAGAGAAGAGCAGAAGCAGGAGATGAAGTGGTGATGATAAAAAGGAGCAGGTTATTGAATAATCTTAGTTGTTAATATAAATGACTAATCAATGAAATGAGTATATAAATGGCTTTAAAATGATTAAATGGAATAATAAAATGATTAAGTGATAAATTATTATAAATGAATGAATATAAAAGAAGGAAAGTAAAACACAACACAAATGTATGGTTGCTCTCTTGAAGTACAGCACACACAGTTTGCGTTTATAAAGAGACATTATGAATGTCAGATATTCCGGTTTTTGTCATACGATTATTAAAGGGATAGTTCATCTAAAAATAAATATTCTGTCTTCATTCCAAAACTGTATGAGTTTCTTTCTTCTGTTGAACGCATAAGATTTAGTCAAAAATGGAAGAATGTTGGTAACCGAAGAGTTGTCGGTAGCCATTGACCTCCATGCTTTTTTTCCATTCTGTGGAAGTCATTGGCTACCGTCAACTCTTCGGTCAGCAACATTCTTCAGAATATCTTCTTTTGTGCTCAGGAGAAGATGAAACTCAAGAACTTGAGGGCGAGTAAATGATGACACAATTCTCCTTTTTTTCCCCTTTAAGTCATTATGACGTCATAGTTATTTAATTAGCTCTTTGAACTGAATGCCACTTTCAGAATGATGTCATAATTGTTCATTGTAATCATAATGGCAGAATTCCGAGTTCTAAAGAACGGATGACATCATACTTGCCATAACTTCTCATAATCTCTGAACTGTGATTACTCTGGATGACTCCATAATTTCACTGAAACTCTTAAATGGAAATGTCGTTTTCCTTTAAAAGGTTCACTAAATGCAATGAGTGGTACTTTTGTGCATTTATCCCATTGGATTTCCTGGTAATATTTAACATTTTGAATGTAAAATGGGTTTGCAAACAGCATTTTGGCTTCAGCGCACAACTTTTATCTCAGAATGGTTTTTTCCATTCAGTATGAATAAATGTATGTGGCTTTTCATCCGAAAAAATCTCATTTTTCATTCCAGTGAGCTGACTGGAAGTGTTCACATTGTGAAAGCCGATTGACATGGATGATTTGTGAGTGTAGCGGGCGTGTGAAATCAAGCTCCTGGTGATGAGAAGCACTATTCGCTTCTCATGTGACCCTGTGACCCTTCACCCTGCAGGTGCGCGGCGCTCCCGCCATTGCCATCGTGGGCTGCCTGAGCCTGGCGGTGGAGCTGCGGGTGGGCGCGGGGGGCAACGACCTCGTGTGCTTCATCAGGGACTCGCTGTGCCACCTGACGTCCGCTCGACCCACGGCGGTCAACATGGGCCGAGCCGCCCGCGAGCTCATGGAGTTCACAGAGAACGAGAGCATGGAGAAGAACACAGAGCAGCTCCGAGACAGGTGACACGCTCGAGGGGTTTACCCGGGATGGGAAGATTTGAAAAATTGTTTTCTTTGAATGAGTTTTGTTTTAATAGCTAGTGAACCAGATATTCCAGAAAAGATCGGTATATTCTGCTTTGCTTTCTTTGCCATGTCTGTGAAATAATAATCTTAAAGCTTTTGTACTAATTGTCAGAAATTCTAATTGCAGTGTTTGTGCCAGTGTTGTTATTAAAGGGATAGTTCACCCCAAAATGAAAATTCTGTCATTAATTACTCACCCTCATGTCGTTTCAAACCCGTAAGACCTCCGTTCATCTTCGGAACACAAATTAAGATATTTCTGATTAACTCTGACCCTCCCATAGACAGCAACGTAATTACCACGATCAACATCCAGAAACGTAGCAAGGAAATAATCCATGTGACATCAGGGGTTCAACCGTAATTTTATGAAGCTACGAGAATACTTTTTGTGCGCAAAGAAAACCAAAATAACGACTTTATTCAACAATTCACCCTGGTGCCATTTTGGAGAATATCCACTGACCGTAAACGGTCGAACTCCTGATGTCACGTAGATTATTTTACTGATGTCCTTGCTACGTTTCTGGACCTTGATCGTGGTAATTACATTGCTGTCTATGGGAGGGTCAGAGTTAATCAGAAATATCTCAATTTGTGTTCCGAAGATGAACGGAGGTCTTACGGGTTTGAAACGACATGAGGGTGAGTAATTAATGACAGAATTTTCATTTTGGGGTGAACTATCCCTTTAACTAAAACTATTAAAAATGAAAAATACTGAAATAAAAATGAAGTAAAGGTAGTTAGAATTTAAAAAAATAGCAAAAACTAATAAAAATGAAAAAAGCACAAAACGAAATTACTAAAATGTAAACATAAAAAGGAAGTACAAAAATACATTAAAAATGAAGAACCTGCTACAACTAAAGTGGACTAAAACATTTTATTTAAAAATTGTTTGTTTGAATTTTTTAATTGTTTTATTATTATTTTTTTAAAGTAGTTTTTTTTTTTTTAATCTAGTTTTTCATTCCGGTGAGCAGATTTTAGAGCGGAACGGATTTGATTTCGAAATATTAAAAAGAAATAATAGAAATATTTTATTTAAATAAATATTTTAATGGTTTTTATTTTTAAAGTAGTTTTTAAAATATTTAAAATTATCTACACACCTTTCTACTTTGTGCAGTATCTGTTTAAAGAGCCTTGAAGGAAGTACGCTTGTTATTGTATGTTTCCCAATTTACCGTGTATAAATGTTTATCAGATATTCACTGTGAGAGATAAGTTTAAATCATTAAACGCAATTATATTTAACGACACTTCATTTTCAGCAAAAATGTAAACAAATGATCACAATAGCCTAAATATGAAGTGCTGCATTGATTACTCCTTTAACGTGCCTGTCTTTTGGCCACGCCCCTCTGCAGCGTGATTGGCTGGATTGAGGAGATGTTGGAGCGAGACGTGAACGACAACAAAAAAATCGGCAACTACGGCGCGCAGCACATCCTGTCGGGCGTCCCGCGAGACTCGGTCACCATCCTCACACACTGTAACACCGGCAGCCTGGCCACCGCGGGATACGGCACGGCTCTCGGTCAGTCCGCGCGCTTAGCATCACTGCAGAAATTAAAGGATAAGTCCACAATTCCACGATAAAAATTTCCTGATCATTTACTCACCCCCATGTCATCCAAGATGTTCATGTCTTTCTCTCTTCAGTCGCAAAAGAAATTACGTTTTTTGAGGAAAACATTCCAGGATTTTTCTCCATATAGTGGACTTCAATGGTGGCCAACGATTTCAATGTCCAAAATGCAGTTTCAGTGCAGCTTCAAAAGGGATATCAGCCGAGGAATAAAGCCCCGTTCACACCAAGAACGATAACTATAACGATATTAGCGTCCACACCAGCAAACAATATCGTCTGTTTATTCTAAGCGCACATGCGTCTGCGCTTTAAATTCTTGAGCTCATAACAGCAGGATGGATTCTGGTTGGCTGTCAGTGTTTTATCATTCATCAGCTGGAGAAAAATCGTTTTGAAAGCGATTCCAACGATATCGTTTTTCTTTGTCTTTATCGTTATAGTTGTGGTGTGGACTCTGCTATTCTTTAATATTGATTTTTAGAACTATATCTTTATAGTTATCGTGCTTGGTGTGAACGGGTCTGAAGTGTGTTTATGGTGTGCATCTGGTGAGATGTGGCAGGTATATAAAGCGCTGCACTGAAGGCAGACGGGTTTGGATGTGTGGGCACCTCTCAGGTCATTTCTGCCGTTAGGAGGAACTCGATGAGCGTCAAACTGACGCGTGTTATTCCTGGAGGCCGAGCGCTCGCGAGGACCCTCAGACTTCCAAAGAAATTACGTTTTTTGAGGAAAACATTCCAGGATTTTTCTCCATATAGTGGACTTCAATGGTGGCCAACGATTTCAATGTCCAAAATGCAGTTTCAGTGCAGCTTCAAAAGGGATATCAGCCGAGGAATAAAGCCCCGTTCACACCAAGAACGATAACTATAACGATATTAGCGTCCACACCAGCAAACAATATCGTCTGTTTATTCTAAGCGCACATGCGTCTGCGCTTTAAATTCTTGAGCTCATAACAGCAGGATGGATTCTGGTTGGCTGTCAGTGTTTTATCATTCATCAGCTGGAGAAAAATCGTTTTGAAAGCGATTCCAACGATATCGTTTTTCTTTGTCTTTATCGTTATAGTTGTGGTGTGGACTCTGCTATTCTTTAATATTGATTTTTAGAACTATATCTTTATCGTTATCTTTATAGTTATCGTGCTTGGTGTGAACGGGGCTTTAGGGTCTTATCTAGCTAAATGATCGGTCATTTTCTAAAAAAAGATTCATATTTATACACTTTTTTTTTTTTAACCACAAAAGCTTGGCTTGCTCTAGCTTGAAGCTGCACTGAAACTGTATTCTGGACCTTGAAATTGTTGGCCACCATTGAAGTCCACTATATGGAGATAAATCCTGGAATGTTTTCCTCAAAAACCTTCGACTGTAGAGAGAAAAGCTGCATCCCAAATGACGCACTATGCACTCATACACTATGTACTTATGCACTATGTACTCAACCATGTGTAGTATGAATTATATAAGGTTATTTTGTCATTCATAATCGGAGTCTGATAGCCCCTCCCCTTTCGGTACGTATTTAAAGCTGCGACAGTTGAGTGCATGAAGTGTCCAACATTCCACACTTCGTTTTTTCGGTCATTTAAGTGCATCATCCGGGTATTTAAAGTGCACTTTTTCTTTTTGGAATTTTCAGTGTGAACGCACTACTCGCACTATTTATACTACAAAACGTCATAGAATAGTGCATAAGTACGTGATTTGGGACGCACCTAAAGACATGAACATCTTGGATGACATGGGGGTGAGTTAAATGATCAGGAAAGTGGACTCATCCTTGATGAGCGACTCTGATAACGACTGTAACTGATCCGTGCAGGAGTGGTGCGGTCGCTGCATGCGCTGAGCCGCTTGAAGCGTCTGTACTGCACAGAGACCCGGCCCTACAACCAGGGCGCCCGGCTGACGGCGTACGAGGCCGTGGCGGAGGGGTTCCCGGCCACCCTCATCACAGACAGCATGGCGGCGCTCGCCATGAGGGAGAAGGGCATCACAGGTGACGCATATGGAGTGCATTCGCTTGAGTGTCGTGACTGTGTCAGGTGTGTCAGATGTTAATGTTCCTGTGCGCACACAGCTGTCGTCGTCGGAGCGGACAGGGTTGTTGCCAACGGCGACACGGCCAACAAAGTGGGCACGTATCAGCTGGCCATCGCGGCTAAGCATCACGGGGTACCGTTTTACGTGGCGGCGCCCAGCACGTCCTGCGACCTGAGTCTGGAGAGCGGACGAGACATCGTGATCGAGGAGCGTCCAGCGGAGGAGCTCACCAGCATCAATGGAGTTCCTGTAGCTGCTCCCGGTAAGTCAAGTGGACACTGCAAATGAATATATTTCACACAAACAATGGCACAAATTTAGATCCAAAGCACTCTAGTTTTAAAATTAGAACTATTGAAATAAATAAAAAATAAATAAATATAACGCAGATGAAAAACAACATGCAACATTTCAAATTTTTTGTCAAGTTTTTAATTTGAAGCACTAAAATTACTGACTGGAAATAAATAAAAGCTCAATTAAAACTGAAATAATATAAATTAAACCTAATTAGTAATATAAAAAAAAAAACGAATTAAAGAACAAAGTTACTGAGTATTAGAATCAAATTAAAAAGAAAACTACAAATATAAAAATAACAATAATTCAACATATTAATAAAAAAAAAACTAAACTAACACAGTTTTACCTGTTGATATACTACAATAAAAAGAAATCACTGAATTTGCCTTAGTTTGCGAAGATTCTGCATAGAAAGATGATTAAAGTTTCATTTTCGACACTTGTTAGCAATTATTTAATAACGAAAACAAAAATTAATTCATATATTCCACTTTTTACCTGCATTTAAAGTCACACACACACACAAAAAAACTGTGATTGGTCATTTTACATGTCAGTCAGATGCAACTATAAAGTACAGAGATAAAACATTTTAACAAATTCATTCTCTTGGGATTTTTTGTGAAGTTTAGCATGCTTCCTTTAAATATATTTTTAAAATAAATATACATGCGTTCAGAGGTTTAGGGTTGGTATGATTTTTCAAGTGACAGTGAAGACATTTATGATGTTTTCTATTTCAAATAAATGCTGTTCTTTTGAACTTTCTATTCATCAAAGATTACAGAAAATAAAAATGTATCACTGTTTCCACAAACATATGAAGCGACACAACTGTTTTCAACATTGATAATAATCAGAAATCAGTAAATCGGCATATTAGAGTGATTTCTGAAGGATCATGTGACACAAGACTGGAGTAAAGATGATGAAAATTCAGCTTTACATCACAGGAATAAATTACATTTTACAATATAATAACATGCAAAACACTTTTTAAATTGTAGTATTTCACAATATTACTGTATTTCGTAATAATAAATTAAATTTGAACATATATTAACATAGAAAACAGTGGATTCAACTTGTAATAATATTTCACAATATTACAGTTTTACTGTATTTTTCATTAAATAAATGCAGCCTTGGTGAGCAGAAGAGAACATCTTAACAGTGCTAAACTTTTGAATGATGGTGGGAATAAATTACATTTTACAATATAATAACATGCAAAACACTTTTTAAATTTTAGTATTTCACAATATTACTGTATTTCGTAATAATAAATTAAATTTGAACATATATTAACATAGAAAACAGTGGATTCAACTTGTAATAATATTTCACAATATTACAGTTTTACTGTATTTTTCATTAAATAAATGCAGCCTTGGTGAGCAGAAGAGAACATCTTAACAGTGCTAAACTTTTGAATGATGGTGTAAGTGTATTAAATGTGCTATTGCTATTGTGTTCATGTATAGTAAATGGCTATTTGTGGGGTTTTTTTTATGTTCAAAGCAGCAGGGTTTTTTTTTTGTTGTTGAAGAAGGGGTGAGAAAAGCAGAAAAAGCTGATTAGTGTGAGTGTGTGACTGCAGGGTTTAAGTGAGCTTTGAAACAGAGCGGAGCTGCTTTTAATTAAACGGTTCTGATATGAGGGAGGAACGATCCTCCGCATATGTGAAAACAGAAGAGAGAGAGGAGTCAGAATCATCAGATTAATTAAAGCTGCAGCGTTTAATAGCTGCCGGCGTCTCGAGGGGAGAGACCGATTACTGCACTACTCTCATGAAGACTGCTGTCTGCCTCACAACAGACAAGACCGAGAGATTGAGACGGGAACGCTGGTCCCAGATCAGCACCCCAATCAATTCATCTCAGCAAATTAACTTGTTATCTGACTGGAACTGTTACACGTCTGTTATATCTGAAGAGAAACCGCATGAATTATATGAGCTAGATTGCTGTCTTTGGAGAAATGTAGCATTGCATCACTTGCTCAGCATTGGATGCTCTGCAGTGAATGGGTGCCGTCAGAATGAGAGTCCAAACAGCTGATAAAAACATCACAATAATCCACAAGTAATCCACATCACTCCATCAGTTAATGTCTTGTGAAGCAATAACAGCAAATTAACTTATCTGACTGGAACTGTTACACGTCTGTTATATCTGAAGAGAAACCGCATTAATTATATGAGCTAGATTGCTGTCTTTGGAGAAATGTAGCATTGCATCACTTGCTCAGCATTGGATGCTCTGCAGTGAATGGGTGCCGTCAGAATGAGAGTCCAAACAGCTGATAAAAACATCACAATAATCCACAAGTAATCCACATCACTCCATCAGTTAATGTCTTGTGAAGCAATAAACTGCATGTTTGTAAGAAACAAATCCATCATAAAAGGGCACCTATTATGCTCCTTTTTACAATATGTAATATAAGTCTCAGGTGTCCCCAGAATGTGAAGTTTCAGCTCAAAATACCCCGCAGATCATTTA